ATATATATATATATATATATATATATATATATATATATATATATATATACGTTATAATAATTAGTTAATGAATGACTCACAAAAGTTTTCCGGGAAGCACACGATCGGTTTTGCGATTGATGCCGCTCGTCAGGCTTCCAGGGGAATTTTGTGCAGTCATTCACATACTACTTACTATAAAATATTCCATAAAGACGCTCAAGTCACGATTGTTGTGGTTAGTAGCATCTGACCCACCTACAAGACATCGAATCATAGCATTGATTTCTCAATGGCCTGGCTCTGAAAGAGCTGTCTATCCAAAATTACCCGGTGTTACAAATGAGGTTATTGTGACGAATATATAGTATATATATACATTATATATAGTTCTTTTGAATACAAGATTTGAAATTGGAGCGAAAGTTACACATTTAAACAACAGCCAACCTTTAGAAAGAAAAATCAGTCAACTGAACAATAACAATGTCGTACATGTAACTGAACTTTCGTACCTTAGCTACCGTGGCGCATGGTGAAAGCAAGTTTAGTGAAGTACTTTGATGAGGTAATTTCTCAAACTGCTACGTTCCGTTATCCGTTTTTGTTTCTGCCTCTGGGCATGTGTGCTCGGTCGCTCGAATTGCCTTCCAAACGTTGGCTTACCTTAATCAACACTACTATGGATAAATATAAGGTGCTGAAGGCCTCTTCTGGCAACACCAAGATAAAACATGCACACCCTCGCACAGGATTATCCCATCTGTACTGAAAAGTTTGTGTTTCCACTCACTGTGAGTGTGGTTTCACCTTTTTTTAGTCAACTGTCGAACAACGGTACACTACCGTGGTTCATGTGATAAACAAAGGGAGACCAACTGTTGATGGAAGGTCGGTAGTTACGGCAGGGGTTTTGTTCAGTTTGAAGTTCTCTTCGGCCACCGATGAGATCCAACCAAGTCGATAAAGAAGCATCTAGACCCCTTAATGACTTTGAATGGGCAAGTCAGAATACAAACAATGCGAGAGGATATCCTTTCCTGCATACTGTCATCAGTCGCGTACGTATAACATTGAACAAATCCTCCGTTCATATCATGTTACCTACAAATTTGTCATATATATATATATATGGAAAACGTTGTTTTTCCCCTCAAAACGCATGATAGTAAATGCGACTTAGGTGCCTCTTGTGTGTGCGTGTGTTTGTATGCTTGCTTGTACATACACAGATGTGGTGATTTCGGTAACGAATACAAGGACAAAACGGATCAGTGAATCATGGCCCAGGACAATGCGGATAAAGCAGTTCAAGTCCCGAATGGAGTGATCAGCTGATAAGCGAGGGTGAGATGAACAGCTGCTGACATGACATGGACCACGTGATGCTACAATCACAATCCACACACTATTAGGGACACATTCACACAGAGATGATTGTCCAAATCCAGTTATTTGTAAGAAATTGATAGAAACCGACTTCGGAGATTTGAACGGGCTAAATCACTGGCTTAAAGTAAGCTTTAGACTAAATGAAATCTCCCGATGAATACAATCGTTTGGGATATGAAAAATTTTGTGTGAATTACGTACCGGAAAGTTTATAACCGGAACGAGATTTTGAGTACACAGTGCTTCCGGTATATGTGGTGATAACAGCTATTGATTAAAACAACTGTGACAAAGGTTCCCAAATCATTGTTTACTTTCAGTAGCAGAAGTATCCGTTTAAAAGGCTTCTTTCGAGATAAATCTGTGGAGTAAGACAAGGGTTGACTCCCTCAAACTTTTCACTGTCTGTTTCCTACCCTGTGACAAAAGTTTCATACATCGCCTTCCCCCATCCGAGTATGTTTTTGAAGGATAATCATTTCCATGTTTTCAGGTTCAGTTTTTTACAACCATTTTGGTTGCTGCCTTTTGGTGCCTCATTTGGATAAAAGTGCGAAATAAAGATTGAAATGTTGAAAGCAAATTCAATCGGAAGATGGAGGATCTATATAGAATGGTGTTAGGAGAATAATCAGTGGATGCACGAGCGTTACTGATTGCGATACCCAGCGTTTTTCGCTTAGTGTCTCTAACCATCGGTGGCAATTATCTCAGGGTCCCCAGCCAGGGAGCCTAATGGGACCTATGTGACCCAGTCTCCTGGTTAGGGTTTTCATACCCTCATGCCAGATCTTAGCTTGACCACCCTTGGCTTTCTTCCACCCACTACCTGCCTCGGTGGACATCGCTCGCCGTGGCAACCTATCTGGTGACATGCGTAAATGGTCCACAACCAGTGACTATTCCCATATGCGCGTAAAGTGTTCAAATAATACATTTCTACTACCTGGTGAGGAATAATGCAACAACTATAGTGACGTACTTTCCTCTGCCTCGGCTGAGGGAGGGGTTAGGCACGTTAGCAACAATCGTATTGCGTGTAGCGGTCGTCCCGCTTTAGCACCTTAAACACTTCAGTTGGGTACATCTGTTCTACACTATTCTGGAACGTTTCAATCTCTTTTCAAAATGGCTTCTTTCGATTCGCACCTTTCCCAGTTCCGATACAGTGTTCGGAGCTACTTCAGGTTCTGTGTGATTTGGAAACTGCCATGTTAACCCACTGCAATGCAGTGTCAGTTTGACCATCTGACTCCAGTGGATTGCGTTTTTACGAACGCAAACATATGCAAAACAGTAAGAGCACTCGAACGTTGGATCAAAAATGTGCCCTTTGGCAAACTGTTCATTGATCCGTCGACAGTTGAAATACCTTTCCACTTTTCTTAAATCATAGACTTGAATTACTCACTCCAAGGATAACGTCCCACACAAAAGTGGACGTTGTCCTTGCTGAACTGAACTGACGTCGTTTCTCCTTAGCTCTTCTGTTTTTCCTGTTACTACGACTGCTTTATACGTTATGGCACAGTCCTTGATCAATTGCATCATTCGCGTCTATCGTGTACCCTGTACTTCATCTGATACAGCGCTTTAACTTACCTTTATTTCCAAAGTGACAAAGACTCTTCAACTAGAAATGATATCAACTATTTTGTTCCGTTGATTTGGACTCTGATCACGAACATGTGCACAACGCAGGTAAAATTCGGACCGACAAAACCTCTTCCCAGGCCCATTGTCACGTGAGTCAAGTCCGGGGCCAGTTTGCGCATGAGTAGAACGACTGTTTCAGGAAAGACAAACCAATTGCCAAGCTCGGCGAACAGGCAAAATGGAATTCAGGAAAGACTGTCTATCGTACATGAGTTAGATGTTCCGGAATCTAGCAAAGAATCGGTCTAAAGGGTATGGTATGTGTATGAAGCCGGTTTACCGCTTTACAGAATTTTAACTGAACCGCAAGGGATTAGAAACTTTATCGCGATGTACATTAGGCTAGCATACCTCCTCAAACGATCATCCTTAAACTGAATTGATTGTTTAATCGTGTTTTTTTTAACACTGGGCAAACAAACGGAATTCTGGTATATTGTTGCCAAACAGATTTGAGGCAACGCTATAAAAAGCTGTTACGGTGTAGGCAACAAAAGTATTTGATTCGGCTGCCTTTGAAAATCGATCAAATGTCTATGAAACGATAGTCCAAACGCAACAGAATTCTTTCTCAGTGAAAGACAAACTTTGTCCAAATGGTTATTACACAAAACTCGGACATTCGCCTCCGGCTGTGTTCACAAACCCCGTAAGAAAATACAGAATACACACATTAATCGCAAAAAGAATTTCGCCCACCTACCCTGACTGCGCCAATTGGTTCGACTATTCGGGGATGGTTCACTGGTCGGACTGCAGCATTGTCCAGACGCACCGTTCAGATAGGTTTGAGGATAATCTACAAAACGGAATGTGGACGAGGATCGGTCATGGGGATTATTTTGGACAGTTTATGCCAAACAATTTCAATACCGGTATGATTAATTTGATTTCACAGAACAAAAAAGTAACACTAATGTGCATTATCTATGTGTAAATGTCCCAGGGACCGGTTTCAGACTGTTAACTTTCCGGTTATAATGATAAACCGAACGATACTACGAAAATATAAAATAACGAAAGAGTAGCTTTTTAAATTTGCTACACAACGATCATATAAAATACGTGTGAAATAGATTGTGACATCAAATCATGAAAGTGTATTTCTTATTACACCCTCCAATGCAATCAATACACATCGAAATAGGTAGCAGTTACGGTCCTGAGGGACCACTGTTCTCGGTAGTTTTCGCATCTGGCTAATACAGTTCGTGAACTCTTTTGATTGTTCATCCCATATCCTAACCAAGAAATGATGAATTACATTCCTATTCCCAACCACCCAACACTCACTTGGTTTGTTTGTAAACCACACAGAATCAACTAACTGCATCAATCAATCAAATTCGCACACACATCAAACTTTGATACAAATGTGATATACCTATTACCTAGTTATGTAGTTGTATTAGCCAGAAGAGGAAGTTACCAATAACGAACCTGTTGGCGCTATTTCGTGTTTTCTCAAATGTTACCATGGGAGCTGCCAGTAAACCAGCAATCTGAACTCTGGTGTTCCTTCAAGATCGGATTTAAGTGAAACTACATATTATCAACACTGGGTAACGGCAGAAGGGTTTGATTATCTGATCTTCGGGCTTGTATCATAAACCATTCACGTTGGGAAGTTGCCTTGCTAATGAACGAGTCAATGTTTTTAGAGTATCAAGCCTGGATTCGATCGTTCAGAGGTACCAGGCACTCTTGATGATCCAATTTAGATACTCTAAAAATTGATTGAGCCATTCGCACAAGGTGATAACTTTCAACCTTATAGCTCAAAGGTAAGAGTTTGAAGTCCTGACCCAAAATGTTCGCGGTTCATGTCCTGACAGGGCCACACAAAACGTACGCACTATCGATGAGTCAGTTATCACAGACATTTCCAAGTCAATACATGGTCAGATTTTCAAAATCCTCGTCCACTACAGACGGATAGGAAGTCTTTATTAACCATAATTGCAAAGTTATTTTCAAAATAGCACTGTAATAAATAACATGACTTAATGGTTTGAAACAGTTAAGAATATGCGTTCATGATCAGAATAGCAAAATATAAAACTATCTGCAGATCACATATGTATAGGTGTCTTGTGTTTGTTTGCAAATGCCCAAATTTGCATGTAACTACGGGTCAGGTCAGTATGTTTTGTTGCCGACAGAATATGATTTTCTTGAAGAGATACTAGAAACATCTATCTATTCAAACGCGTATGCTGTTATTCAGAGGCCCGCATTAAACGGGATAAAACGCTGTTCGCTAAGTGTCTCCCAGTCAAACTGAACAAAGTCAGCGAAGGAAATGAGCACGAGAAGATTCCAATCTTGAAGTTGTCAAAATGAAGTATTATGAAGCCGTTTGCTGTGATGAGACTGTTTACCCTGTGATAAAACTTAACTCCCTGTTCCAGATCGATAGTTTTCCCTCTGTTGTTCTTTGTTGTTGTTGTTGTTCATCGTGGTCTCTTTATCAAAAACCGTGTGTAAACGAGGAATACAGGGGTCACACAGCATGGTACTTGATCCTTACGGGTGTCAGTGCCCACGATGTTAAGAGTCTGCTCAGTCCGTTTGAGCCTGGCAACAGTGCAGTTCAAGTGGGATCAAACTGTGTGTGTGTACGCTTGTCTGTTCAGTTTATCGTATTCCGCACTCATCGACCGATCGACCCTCCCTCTGAAACGGAAAGCTTCGTCCCCACTGAACTACAATACAATCGAGTGGTTTGTATGGAGACCGAAACTTAAGAACTTCTCTCGTTTGCTTGCTCTTTCATTCTATTATTCTGGTCGTTTTCTAAATTAAAATGTTGTATACACTATTTCAGTCAAGAAAGATATTAATGAATTTAGTCCGGGAACACATCGCGATGCCTGAACACTGCGTATACAATATGATGCAATCAAATGCCTGCACAAGCAAACCAGCATTTGGTTTAACTGGGAAAGAATGTGTAAAACAGAATACAACCATAACGACTAATTGATTCACTCAAGTCAAGTAAAGCTTTATGCATCCAATAGGATAGGAATTTTCAGCACTTTCGACAAGTTACAGCAGAGAAAAAGTTAAGCATTGGAAAAAAGAAGAAAATACATTTACCAGGTGAAAAACAAACGGATTAAATAAAAGCCCAATGTGACAGATGATTGTTCAGGTCAGTACCAAAATAAGTAAAATAAGGGATCATGCTGTTTTTTGCGTGTGATGGTGCGGGCACAAAGAATCCGAAATTGGGAACGAGTACTCGGATGAGACACCGATTTATTGAGATGGGTATGCAGGCAGTGTTCTTCATTTGACAGTATATGCCTGATAAATCTGTCACATGAATCAAACTTCTTGCTCACAATAAAGTCAACCAAAACGGTCTTTGAAATGCCTCTGCCACGAGGAACAAGTTTAAGAAAGGGGAATAAAGTCTTTCTCCGCTAGACCAGGAAAATGTACGGGGGAACAGTTTGTACCAATGTAGACGAATGCATGCAGTCACAAATTTAAGAATTATATTTCGGGGAATGCCGAGCTTTTTAAACCTAAAAGCGAACCCTAATATAAGTGTTTTCAATATGTCTGAACAAGGAAAGATTATGTCACAAAGTAACTCCAAGATACTTGACAGAGTTAGCTTTGGGAATGATATTGCCATTAACAGAATATTCAGACTGATTACTAAAAAGGGTTTGTAATGCGTGCTTGTTGTAACGCTAAAAGAAACATCCACACAGTTATCTACATTGAGCATTAAAGATCGGGGTATCGACCAACTAAAAGTCCTGGAAACTCTGTCGAAATAAGTCAATCAATCAAACAACTGTGATCACATTTTAGACAGTGAATGTTTGGATTTGTTCGCTTCGGTTTCGCATGGGCATCAGGCAAGCACCACTGCTGATGATCTTGGGACACAAATCGTACGCACTAATCCCGAGTCCCCAAAACGGGACGAAACAGCTTTCAATATCTTAAACATTGCCAGTGGGTTGATGGCAATGTGGAATCCGAAGTGGTTCTGTGTAGCTGGAATTCGTTCAGAGGCTTGAAATATGCATACAGTTTATAATAGATCATCGCAGATGATAACAGGAGCGGAAGCTCAGTGGGATGTTCGG